TCTATGTACATACATATTTTATGAGTGGCCTTTTCATTTCGTCACTTACGTGAATACATACGTGAGCGTATGCTCGCCCAACAGAAAATAATAAAAAACGACCCTCATCGCTACCGAATCGTCTGGCTTCATGTGTATGGCCTCCTGTAGAATGTGTATAAGACGCCTGTGTGGGCAGTGAAATAACTGCCGGAATTGATTGAAACCCACGCGCGTTTCCAGAGGAACACATTCGCATTGTTGAATGCGTTTTAAACGGATATCGATATTTTTGTCGGATAAATTTCGTATCCAGAGTATAATTTTCAACGGGCGACTATTGATTTGGCGCATTGGCATTACAATGTCATGATGGAAATTACTGCCATCATTATGAATTTCCATGTTGAGTCTGTGGAAAGTGGAATAATAAAAGTAAAATATTTGCTTATATCCATATATGTATGTATGTATATTTGTAAATATTTACTTATCTATGTCGAAATATTCCCAATAATAGACTTTCAGCAGTGGTGGTGATGTAACGGTCATATTCTCAATTTTAAATAATTGATATTTCCGCTTAGAGCTTTCCTTTTGTAGGCGAGCCCTTTCTAGCACAGCTTCACACATGTTCGGAAAAATTTCAGAGCTCATACAGNTCAGCAGTGGTGGTGATGTAACGGTCATATTCTCAATTTTAAATAATTGATATTTCCGCTTAGAGCTTTCCTTTTGTAGGCGAGCCCTTTCTAGCACAGCTTCACACATGTTCGGAAAAATTTCAGAGCTCATACAGGTGATGAAGTTTTATTTTTACAAAAGCCTTGCGGCAAATGTGAAAAAAGTAATAAAATGAAATGAAGTTTCGGAGCAAGATCACGAAATGTTTTGTTTTCTCTCGTACAGTGCCTTGGTACAGTGTGCTAATAGTTTTTTCATATACGGAATGAACTGGAGGCGTTGAATAGTAAAGAAATAGTAAAAACGGCTATTTTGCACTGATGGCGCATAAAGGAAGGAATGTATGTACATATATTTAAAATTATTTAAGGTATTCCAATGCTAGTTGAGTTTTAATTTCCAACGGTGGGATGTACGGCCAAAAATTCGTGCAAACAAAAACTTTGGGCGCTCAAATTTTTGTTGTGTTTAGCCAAACTTCTTGATTTTATGACTCGTGTCTCAATGTTATTACGCAAATGGAGGGACTCGCAATTTTATGCCAACTCCAATTGGTAAATGGCTTTTATGAGAATACTTTTATTAACAGAAAAACACTCCGCGGCTTTCCATTGCCTGCTGAGGGACGGCCGATATTCCAAAAATATTCTTTTGGGGATGTTGCTCGGACGAGGAAACGAACCTCAGTCCTATCGGGTGTAAGAACGCACTTTTAACCACTCGGATATGGCGGATGCCATGTTTGTATTTAAACGAAATAAATTATAGCATATTCGTAAATGCAGGGTTCATTAAAAACATTTGTTTAGTCCATAATCAGGAATTTATTCTAAACTTCCTATTCTTTTTTATTTTCAACTTAATCGGAAATGAAAATTACGCCATATTAGGCAAGGAAGTTGTGTAGGATATGCGGATAAGCCGTTAATTGGACGCAATTAATCGGCCTACACACAGTGATTTATCGAGTTAAGTTGAGTACAAATAAAAGCGTTGTAAAATAGGAACCTCAGTGTTGACCAGACAGCAATGTGATTACTTTTCTTTATTTTTAACCCGAATAACCAAAAATTCACTTGGTACCACACACCAATATGCATACTTCGCTGTCTCGGTATTACACATTCTACTCTTTCTAATTCGTATACTATTGATCTCTTTTCAGCATAATAGTACGAGCCCGTTCTATTTGCTTCGTAAAAAAACTCAATTCGACTCTTTCTAATCTTTATGCTTGTCATAGAGATGTAAGTTAAAAAAATATATCAATGAATTTCGATATAATATATAAAAACATCGATGATTTCGTTGTTTTATTTACACTCGAGTAAGAAAATATTTTATAGTTTTTTAATAACAGATTCCAAAATACATAGATAACTGCTGCCCAATTCTTATTTAGTGGTGAAGCGAAAACAAGATTCAAGGCTTCAAATAAAATATCGATAATAAAGCACAATTTGTCAAAGAAAACTTCAATTATATTTATATTTCTCTTTATCTTTTTTTATATATTTAGAATTGGCATTCTGAAGCACAGAAATTAATATCAGTGGTACAAATACAAAATGAGATGGAAAAAATACATCAATTCGATATATATCGGAAGCATCCGATGGATCGGTTTTTTTCGTTGATTTTGATGCATTGATGATTTTGTTACATTTCTAGTTTGTTGGTCATTGATTGACAGAATCTGTTGGAAATTAGTGTTGTGTATTTTCTATTCCATCGTTGTGCGGTTAAAGTGTGTGGCAAATTGCAGATAAATAATTAAAAAATCTACCTATTTACCAAAACAGTTTCATTGGCTTTTATATTAAATTGTACACATTTCGCATCTTGCGGCAGAGGAAAAATCGTAAATACAAGAAAAAAGGAGTGTCCCCGTGCTATCAAAAAAAAAGAAAAAAACAAAAAACGCTATGTCGTTAATTTTTAATGTAGTAAAAGTGTAAATAACTAATAACTAAATTTGTGGAAAAGAAAAAAGCAAACGCGCGAACAAGTGCAAAGATAAGCAAGAAATTTGTGCAAACGGAAAAAAAGTAAAGCAAACGCTGCGAAAGCGACAAAAAACAAGTAGCACAAAAAAGTAGAGCGAAAGCAGCAATTCATTAAATATTTGAAGTCTTTTAATTGTGCAAAAAGCAATAAAGTGCTAGGCAATTACTCATTGGGTGCAGTAAAGGATAACTGGAAGGTAATATATATGGATTGAGTTGCTTAAAATGTAAGGGACTTTACAGGCTGATAAGATTGCTGTAGGCATTGGAATTAGTTTTATATTAACATATGTACATGTATTAATTAATTTCAGTCTGCTATTATTTTATGCAAAACACCTTTAGAATTTCATTGTGCGTGCAGTATTTAACTAAATTCGGCTGTACGTATAGCTTAGCTGATAGCGTGCTGATAGCTTGTCAATGGCGATTTGTCTCGTGAGCAACAAACGCCCAACGCCTTTTCTGCCTATACAAATTGGGAGTGCTTATCACGAATAAATGAAAAAATATCTGCATTTAGGTACGAAAATATACTAGTTCTCAGAAAAAAGCGGACGCTTTAAATGAAATTGAGGAGGATAAGTAAGTGTCGAGGCCTCCAAATACCAGCCAACTTGACTGTAACGTGTTGCTACAAAAACAATACCAATTTGAATTAGGAATCACTGCAGGCGACAGGCTATCAATGGTGATGATGACAAAGATTTCATATATACATAAATGCTATTGAAAGTAGGAATTTAAGTACCTACTAAAGGTTTGGGTCATCTCTTATTAACTTAACTCGAAACCGTCTGGTTGTTGTAGAGGCTACAACAACCCCGCCGAGGTGGGCTAGTATTTCAGTCGTTGTCGTCAAGCTCAACTAACGGAAGACCCAAGAAGCGTGCAGCCTCTATAGGGTCTGTCCACAGGGACAAAGGCGTTAACTGTGTGGAGTTCTCCGGGCATGCGAAAAGATGTTTCGAGTCGTGGGGTGCCTCGCCGCATGCCGAACACTCATTTGGAACATTTGCATCTGGTTTGCTCAGGTTTGAGTTCAACCTGCTGCAGTAGCCTACCGTTGTTCTTGTTGTAGCAGCATACAAATTCCCCAAAAACTTTTTGGGGAGTGTTGCTGGAGTGACAGTCCTTGGCCAGATATAAACCTGGGCCGTTTCGGTTACGTAGACCCGACTGTCATGGGAACGAGTAGCCTATCGTCTGTTAGGTGGGTTTTGGCCGTTTCGTTTTCACCTAGTTCCGAGTAGCAGACGCGGGTTAGTTTGATCGTTGTGAATATTTTAGCAAAAAATTCACAAAAGTTGCATTGTGGTTGCAGATATTTAAATAAATAATTAAATTTGGGCATCAGCTGTTTACAAACCTTGGAACTGTTTTTGTTTTTTGAGCGGGCAATTTTTTTCTCTGGCTACATGCCTGTATATAGATATTGTACTGTTTTCACAATACCTTTTAAGAAGAAATCGTAGCAGATTGTCGGCTGTCCAAAAAATCGTTTCCAAAAACCTCGTACCAAATATTTGCAAGGGCGGAACGGGGCACATAAATGACCCGCCGTCTCGGCCTGGAATACCGGGGCATATTCCCAAGAGCAAAGTGAGCTCATCATCGCCATTATCTTCGATATAAACACCAGATTCTGACGCAGCGTCAGTTTTAGATGTATCGGTAAAGATTCCAGATTTAACCAGCATTCAGCCTTAGGGTACTCCATCTGGGGCATTGAAAAGACTCATTCACCAGAAATATCTGCCTCGCCCCACTCATTATCATACCAACACAAATTTCTTTTAAGTCTGCTGGTGGCATTTAAGGCCACCCTACGTATAAAGTTGTAAAAGGTTTGTAAGTTTAGCAGAGCATCAGGAGCAGAGCCAGGGTTGTAGAGAACAACAACAAGGCTCCCTTAAGGCACTCGGCGACTGCCTTTTAAGTTTGGCAAGCAACGCTACTCATTGTAAATCTGCTCCAGCCATTTGCCTTCCCTGTATGTCCCAATTTTGTAAGTCTAAGGGATTAGGTAAATAGTTACAAGAAATAGGTTTCGTGTGCTATCTCAACCTTCTCCAAAATCTTGAAGCCACAATATCTATGTATGCAAAATTTTCATAAGTAACTAAATAAACTTTTCGGCCTAAGAAATATATATGAATCAAGCACTAAATGAAACTAAATAGGAAAATAAAAAATTTACAACAAATTAGGCGAAACAATGAATTGTGCCATCAAAAACAGTAAAGTTTAATCTATGCTTTTGGCCAAGTTGGCTATAAGTACATATTATGTAGTGTTTGCCAACAATTTCTGGTTTCGAGCGACAACTGTTAACGAAAATTCTGCAAAAAAAAAAACATGAAATTCCATATAAACGCGTATTTGTCACGTTTATATTTTGTGTTAGGTGAAGTAACTATGCAGTTCATTTGAAATGGACAAAGCATTTTTAATGTTTTGGGTCTTTTATGCTCCCGAAAGCAGATTGCGTGAGAAAATATGTATAAACAGAAAATAGTTGAATGCCATGTATTAACGCATTAAACATTATGTTAGTAGGTTCTGCCATAGGTTAGCATAATAGACAATGTAGAATACTGCAAATGTGAAATCGAGCGAGTCCAGCTATATATGTACAGATGAATGTATGTATACACTTCCAGAATACCTTCCATGTGGCAGTAGCGCAAAATACCAAAAAGTTGGTGACCTATTTCAGCTGGAATCATGAATCGTATTGAAAAATCGATGAACTTAATTCATCGAAGCGTGTAACAAAAGAAGCGACTAACGCATGAGTATTCTATATTTTGACTGGTTGGGTATATATGTACATATGTACATATGTAGTACTACGTCAGCTGTGTCAAAGCTTAGCAAGGCAACGTTGACATAAATAATGGCTGGGTGAGCACACCAATTGGATCAGTTTTCTGTCTGCATGCCTTTATGCTTGTTGATGTAGATGTTGATTGAAGCGAACTTGAAATAGGCCGTTATGGTGCTGAGACGACTAAAGAGCGAAATACACCACACAAGCGGTTTGACAAACCTTCAAACACCCCCATACACAGCACAAATGGCTTGAAGCAAAGGGAAATTTCGCTTGGTTTGTCAAACCGCTTGTGTGGTGTATTTCGCTCTTAAAGTATTTTTGCAGGGCAATTTAGAAACTGATTGCCTTTTTAATTGTGTATCATATCTTTTGCATTTGCTACATACCCAGCAGATCTCAGTACCAAACTACCCTGACGTAAATACCATTATAACTTTTGCTAAAGTAGTATTTTGATTATTCTAGCAGAACTATTAAAACAAAAAGTTTTTAATGTCGAGTGTATATATATATGTATCTACATATGTACATAGGTGTCCCCGTAAAACGAAATTTCGAAATTTACATACATATACGCGAGGCGTATCTGTACATGAAACTTGTTTCTCAATTTGACAGCCTTTTCGCCTGACTGCACTTTACTGAGCGCTCTGTAAGAATTTCGAAAATGAAACAACATTAATAAGATAAAGAAATAAATTGCTACGTTCTCTATGATAACAGTTTTTAAACTCTAATTACCATTATACAAATGATAACACAATATAGTATGCGAGTACATATGTATGTACATACATTAGACCGTACAAACTTACAAACGAACAAAAAAAGTAATTTTTTTAGGAGAGTGTCTTTGGAAAGTTTTTTTTTTTTAAATTTCTGAAAAGCGAATTGCCGGAAGAATTTTTGCAATAACTCTTGCATTTTTTAAATTGAGGCTCCAAACTTTAAGAAAATTCATCCTTCCAGACCCCAAAGGTATACAACATTTCTTGTGCATATAACTCCGGCTACGACATCCACAGTATCTTGAGGCAGAACCTACATCGAAATTTATCGAATTTATTAATGAAATAGTGCTCGGAAATTTGAAATTTTGGTTTGAAATTAAAGTTAAATCCACGGTATACAGTAAACCAGCCATTGACAATATGCTTATTTGAAAATTAATACATTAAATATTGTGCATGTATAGGAATCTTTTGTCATTAACCCATAGGCAATGACTGGTGCAAAAGTACCCACAAATGTTTGTTGATATATTTGAAATGTAAATTTTAACAGCGAAATTCGCAAAAAAAAATAATAAAACAAAAATTTTGTTGATTACTACATGGGAGGTGGTCGTGGTCAATGACAGATTTCGTCAAAAATTTAATACTAACTTAAATTATACCAAAGGCAACTTCCGCACCGACTTTCGTTACAATATCTAAATCTTGTTCGAGTTAGCGTGTTTACAAACAGACACGACTGAACCAATTCATTTCGTCATTCTGAATATTTTGATAAATATTTATGTAAGAATATGTGTACATATATACATTTTATACGGTTGAAAAACGGCCTCACTTATCTGCATACAACAATTTCGTGCATTTGTTCGAGCGTCGATATATAACTTTGTGTACATATTTCATTAAAACTTTGGAGGAGGTCTCCACTATAAGAGTGGTATATTTGAGTTTAAGTAATACTTGTTTTACCCCCTAATTTATGGGACCATTTTCCAAAGTCAGCCCACTATTATTCACTCAAAGTTGTGTTCGAACACGATATGACTTATGTAGGAACTGCATCCGGTTATAATCGCTTCCGCTGCAAGCCTGATTTGCTTGGAGTTTTGTTTTTCTCGTTGTTATATTTTATGTGACTAGAAAATATTTTTTACTATAAGAAAATATTGAAATTGGATTTCATTTGGGTTAAAGAAAATGACAACTGTGAAAAAATATCAACCAATACACTGTATAATGTGGTTAAATCCTTTGAATACACGTGTATGTTAAAGATTTTAGACTCGGATTACTACGCCCTTTTTATAAAATAAATTTGTTTGTATTTTTAAGATCCCTTTTTTTGACCTATTTTTTTATTGTCTATGTATGGAAAGAGTTTTTGGAACCTTTCATTTATTTTTCGGGAAATTTCAGATCCAAAATAATGAATGCACATTTGTGTTCAGCCAGAACTGAAGAATATCAAAATAAACAGATCCTTGTTGTTTATTACGAAATTGGTTAACATTTGATGGGTTTCTAAGAAATAAATATAAGAGATAGATGTATTTTCTTGAAGAAATATGTAATTATGTGTGCTGTTTTTTCTTGAGAGCCGCAAACTGTTTTTCCATTTCTTTTG